TGCTTTTTTTGTCTTGAAACCAAAGAAGAACAGGGTGATGCCCAGCTAAGCCTGTGATCAAGGAATTGGGCAAATGCAAATGGACATATGACCAAGGAATCACTAGAGGAATCCTGACCAAAAGAGAGAGTGGAACAGAAATTCAAATTCTTATAGAATCCAGACTTTACCGATTGAGACTGGAATAACCCCCAAATCTGTCTCTCTGAGGAAATCTCAAATCATGAACTGAAATTATCTTTAAACTAAATAACTTTTGAGCTAAATTAGTAAAGAATATTCACCCAAAGAAAGCACTGCACTTTTAAAAGAATTATATAAAATCAAATGTCAACAATAACTCTAAAGCATAAATTAATTATGGGGAAAGACTCTGGAGAAATAAGGAGAATGGTAATACAATATGAAGACATTCACCAATGTTACTAGACTATACATGTAGAAATTGATGAATGTGGGTTTATATTCTGCTGTGCATATGTTCACCAAAATTAAAATAATTTTGATGAAGCAAACATTAGATATGTTATTGTAACCCTATTTACTATAATATAAATTCATTAAAATTAGATTATTTTGTGATACAACCATAATACCATTGTCACAGCTTGAAAAAAAAAAAGAATTCCTTTGTGCCCTCTAAATATTCTCCATATTCAAATTTTCCAATTTGTCTCAAAAATATTTTTATATAGTTGGTTTGTTCAAATCAGCATCCAAATATGAGACATGTTTGCCATTTTAACCTATTTAATCTGGAACAGTTATTGACCCCTACCTCTTTTTAAAATAAAAGCCCTGGTGGCACCAAAAATGGTTTCTCTTTACAGCCCTGGAAATCTTATGGTGGCAGCTCTACTCTTCCCTAAAGGGTCACTTACGTTGAAATGGACTAAACAGGAATGGGTTTGGTCTGGGGTTTTAGCAGGTTGGGGTTCAGGATCAATAAAGAAAGACATTTTATAACCTTGAGAACTTCCGTTAGAATCCATATTCTAGTATTCATTAAATCTCTTTAACATTTTTAATTTAACATTAAAAATTTTCTATCACAAAAGAATGTATGTGTTAGTAGTTACTAGTATTTACACTTAATTTGTAGAACCCACAGATAACAATTTTGGGAGAAAGATAGGCTGTTTACTCTTCTAAAGGGTTACATTCTCAGAATCCTTAAGGAACAAGTTCTATTTTGTTGTATAAGGTTGCTGTGAGTCAGAATCCAATCAACAGCATGTAGGTTACTAGATGTAAAAATAGACTATCTTGCCACAAAGGACTCTTTTTGGCATAATAGGTTATGCATTGAGCTGTTAACTATAAAGTCAATAGTTCTGATCCACCAGCTTCTCCATGGGAGAAAGATGAGACTTTCTACTCCCATAAAGAGTTACAGTCTCAGAATCCCACAGGGGCAGTTCTATCCTGTCATATAAAGTTGGTCTGAGTCAGAATCTACTCGATGACAGTGAGCAATCTTGCTCTCCATATCCCACTCTTCCCTCTCGAATACACACACACACACACACACACACACACACACACACATTAACCCCCTAATAGTGGCTGAAGTAAAACAAATAAACAGCGATTATGAGAAAACATTAATATAGGTCAACTATACATATATGCATATTTTATTGATCAGATAAAGGCATTCTACTGAGAAGAGAGGACTCCAGAACACTTCACTGTGCTTATTCATAACCTGCACATGCATCAAGAGGAAATTGTATGAACAGAACAAAAGAATAGTGCATGGCTTTAAATCAGAAAAAGGATGTGTTGGTGTTGTATCCTTTCACCATATTTATTCAATCTGTGTGCTGAGCAAATAACCTGAAAAATTGTACTATATGAAGAAGGTGGTATTAGGATTAGAGGAAGGTGTATTAACCTTGGATATGTAGAGAACACAACCTTGCTTGCTAAAAGTGAAGAGGACTTGAAGCATCTACTGATGAAAATCAAGAATTGTAGCCTTCAAAATGGATTAAAACTTAATGTAAAGTTGAAACCCAGGGTTGATGAAGCTGTAGGGACAGGAAGTAGAATAAAGGTTTCTGTGGCTACAGTGTGGTGTGGGGTGGAGTAAAAGGGAGCTGATGTCAAGGAGTTCAGGAGGAAAATAATGTTTTGAAATGGATTGTGGTAGCAATTGTACAATACTGCTTGATGTGATTGAACCATGGAATGATATATCTGTATTAACTCCTAATATATGTTTTTAAAAGCAAAATCTTTACAAGTAGACAATAGGTAGCATCATGATAAACGAAGAAAAGATTGAAGGTGTCAAAGATTTTTGTGTTGCTTGGCTCCAAAATCATTGTTCATGAAGCAACAGTTAAGAGATGAAAAGACAGATTGCATTCGGCAAATCTATTGGACAAAACCTCTTTAAAGTATTGAAAAGCAAGGATGTTTCTTTAAAGATTAAAGTGTGCCTCATCCAAGCCATGGTATGGTCAATGGACTCATATGCATGTGAAAATTTGATATTGAATAAGGAAGATTGAAGAAGAATTGATGCATTTGAATTATGGTGCTGGCAAAAAATATTGAAAATACTATAGACTTCCAAAAGAACATACAATCTGTCTCGGCAGTGTAGTCAGAACGCTCTTTAGAAGCCAGGATGGTGAGACTTGGTCTCATGTACTTTAGAAATGTTATCAGTAGAGACCAGTTCCTGCAGAAGTACATGGTGCTTACAAAGTGAAGGAACAGCGAAAAAGAGGAAGATCTTCACCAAGATGAATTGCCATAGTGGCTGCATCAGTGTGCTTAAACATACAATTGTGAGGATGGTGCAGGACTGGGTGGTGTTTTGTTCTATTGTACATAGCATGGCTATGAGTTGGTTCCAACTTGACAGCACCTAACAACAACATACAAGGGGATACCCCCAAAAATAATGAAATAAAGCTCCATTGGGTAGAGCTTTTGTTGTACGCAATTTTCCCTCTAGGCGAGAATCAAGCAACTCTCTGGGTTAGTGTACCCAGTGGCCTCATCAGAGGTTCTCTCCAATCACAGTGATCTCTCCGATGGGAAGGTTTTCTCTGATCACAGTGAATTTTTTCTTGAAAGCAGTTTCGCTTGAACCTTTTTTCTGTGTGATGGCTGATTTAAGAAAACAGCGTGTGGCTGTGAATTTTGTTTCCTGCTCGGGTAAAGTGCTGCAGAAACTGTTTTGATGTTGAACACAGCTTACAAGGACAGCACTATGGGAAAAACTCAAATGTATGAGTGTTGTTGTTTTTAGGTGAAATGTCGATTGATGACCAACCTCGTTCTGAATATCTGTCAACTACCCTAAAGGACAAAACTGTCTACTAGTAGTGCTTTTGGAGTTCGTTTCACCAGGTCAGACTGTTAATCAAGCTTTCTATTTAGAGGTTCTGAAAATATTGTGTAACAGTGTATGACAAAAAAAGGTCTGAATTGTGGCAGTCAGGGACTTGTTTTGCCACCACAACAATGTACCTGCTCACCCAACCAGCTCTGTGTGCCAGTTTTGGGCAAAAAACAGCATGCCTCTCTTGACCCACATACCTTCCTCACCTGATCTCACTCAGTGTGACTTCTTTTTGGTTTGTGAATTAAGAGGGACATGAAAGGACAGGGATGTGATGATATAGAGGAGGTGAAGAAAAAAAATGTTGGAGGTGCTGTCAACCATCCAAAGAGATAAGTTTGATAAATGTTTCCAAGAATGGAATAGCAGATTTGACAAATGTATTGAGTGTAATGGAGAATAATTTAAAAGTGATAAGGTTGTTTTGTAAAAAACTTTTAAATATATAGATTTGAAAAAAATATTCCGGTTTTTTTTTTGGGGGGGTGCCCCCTTGTATAAGTGCTAGTCAATTTCCTCTCCTTTTCCACCTCTACTTCTTCTCCCAGCCCTTTTATAAGCTCTTGTTCTTTTTAAGAGTTTAACAGTATTTGGAATTTTAGAAATGGGAAAAGAATAATGGGTATAAGCCTCAGTGACAGAACAAAAATTCTCTTAGTGTTGCTGTCTAACTGTATCCCTTTGTGAGTGATAAAGACTCCAATAACAAAGTATTCCATCCAGATTCATTCAAAAGATATTCAGAATATATTCATCAAAAAAATGAATCTCCCCAAATGAAAAAAGTTGAGACTCAATATATTTTTAAGAATTATGTTCTCAGAAAACTCTAGATTAGAAGCAAGTATATTTTTAGTATATATTTAGGCTTAAATTTTACAGATTTATACTTTTTAAATTATGTATATGATTGGGTTAGCACCATGGTTTTGGTGTTTTAAACTTCATTCAAACCTGTATCTTAATGTTCTGATTACTGTGAAATTATGGTCTTTTTTTATTATAGAAAGTAGGAAACATAAAAATTAGAAAAAGTTCTAGTGTATCATCACATATGTATATATCACCTAGGTTCAATCAATAACATTTTGCCAATTTTGTTTAATCATATATTTATCACTTTTCCCCCTTGCTGTTTAAAAGTCAATTCCAGCTATCATGTCATGATTACTCAATTATATATTATATAAACCCCCAAACTTAAATTTGTACTTGGAAAAACCCCAAATTTACCGTATCTTGTTGTTGTTCAGCCTCAGATAATAGAGTGCTTTCATATCCTGTATCCCAGGTGGTATAAATTTGAAGTCATTATAATCCAGAAATAATTCTCTCAGAGAATGATATGCTCCATGGAAAGAAACAGGGTCCACTCCAGTATCCCCAAGTTTATTAAATGACAGGTACAAGTATTCCAGTCCAGGCTCCATGTGAGCAAACACATAGCCAGGAATTCGTTCAATTTGATTCCCGATTAACACCAGGTGCAGCAACGACTTTGGTAAATAGGAGGGAACATGATAGAGCTTGTTGTAAGAGAGATCAATGGATTCTAGATTTCTGTCATAAAGAAAAAAGTAGAGAACATTAGCATGATGGTCTAAATTTTAGCATAAGCTCTAAATATTGACAAGGCCAGTCTTTTTTTTCATGCACATTTTTAAATTAATAAATAATTTTATTGGGGGCTCTTACAGCTCTTTTAACAATCCATACATCAATTGTATCAAACTTATTTGTACATATGTTGCCATCAGCATTTTCAAAACATTTTCTTTCTACTTGAGCCCTTGGTATTAGCTCCTCTTTTTTCCCTGCCTCCCTGACCCTAATGGGCCCCTGATAAATTATAAATTATTATTATTTTCATATCTTACACTGTCCACTGTCTCCCTTCACCAACATTTCTGTTGTTTGTCCCCCTGGGGTGGCAGTTATAAGTTGGTTATTGTAGACAATCTCCTCCCACCTTCCCCCACATTTATGGTATCACTACTCCCATTACTAATCTTGAGGGGTTTATCTGTCCTGGATTCCATGTGTTGAGAGCTCTTATCTGTACCAGTGTACATGTTCTAGTCTAGCCAGATCTGTAAGGCAGAACTGTGGTCATGATGGGGGTGCAGGGTAGCATTAAAGAACTAGAAGAATGTTGTCTGTTCTATTGGTGCTTTACCCTGACTGACTTATTCTTTCCTTATGACCCTTCTGTGAGGAAAGGTACAATCGTCTAAAGAGGAGCTTTGGGTCTCCTCTTTGACCCCCATCATTTTCTTCAATATATTTGTTTTGGGTCCTCTGATGCCTGTTATCTGATCTCGTTGACACCTCATGATCACACAGGCTGGTGTGCTTCTTCTATATGGGCTTGTTGCTTCTCTGCTGGATGGCCACTTGTCTAACTTCAGCCAAACACCATCAGCTTTCTTCACCACATTTGCTTATTGACCCATTTTCACTTCAGCAATCCTGTCGGGAAAGTGAGCATCACAGAATGCCAGGTTATTAGAACAAAATGTTGTTACATTGAAGGGGTATTAGAGTAGAGACCCAATGGACAAGACCAGTCTTAATGCTAGTTCATTTCCTTAAAAGCACTTAATTTATAGTAATGATCCTAAATATGAGGGCTTCAAAAAGCTCATAGAAAATGGAATTTAAAGATTATGGCATTTTCCCCTGAAATTTTTGAAGGGTTCCTAGTACACACTTGGATATTTGACAGTCTTGGGTCATCTGACTGTGAGTTCATGATTTTACCAATGTGATCTATTACCTCTCTGTCTATGAATTCTATTTGTGAGAAGTAAAAAGATTTTTCAGGAGAAAATCTCTTAAATCCCTGAAGTATAAAACTAAAACCCACTGCCATCAAGTCAATTCTGAATCATAACTACTCTAGGTAGGGTTTCTGGGGCTATAAATCATTAATGGGAGCAGACAAACTTTTTTTTTCCTCCTGCAGAGAGACTGGTGGGTTTGAACTACCAAGCTTGTGCTTAGCAGTCCAACATTTGTTAGTACCACCAGGGCTCCTTTGAGATCCAGAGAGGTCCCAGAAATGCCTCTGAAAGTTATGCTTGAATGAGAAATGAAATTCAAGAACCTTGGTGGTGCTGTACATTAGTCAAACCACAGGTCATCGATTTAAACTCAGCCACTCCTCCAGAGAAAGATGTGAGTGTCACCTTCCATGAAGATTCACAGTCTGAGGGACTCTGTAGGGTCACTCTGCATCTGCAGTAGGTTTGGTTTGATCTGACCACAAATCACCCATCCCTAAACTTATCTCTGGTTCAGGAAGAATTGTTTTTCTTTGTTATTGTCTGTCTGTTTATTTTGATTCAACATTTGATTTAATGACTTGACATACTTATGGCCTGGGATAAAACTAGGGGGATCTAGAAAGTGTTGCTAATTAACCAGAAAGTATGAGAAGTGTGGTGAATGCCCTTGTTTGTTTCAGGAGCCTCATTCCTCACTCTGCATCTCCTAAGACTTTCACTTGATTCCTTCCTTTTACTTGAAAGAGAACACTTTCATCTTTGCACATGGGATTCAATCATCCCTACCTCTCCTGAATCCAGTTGCCCTAATGCTACTTTTCATCTCTCTCCATCTTACTGATGAAAACAAGTGTCCCAGGCTGTGTTATCAGATGATGATCACATCATTCACACTAGCTCATATGTTATTCCAGAACCTCTCTAAGGAAAAGTGGACAGAGTTGCTGTGCTGCTTATCCCTCACCTTTCCAGCTCCTTTATCAAACGTCTTCATAACCCAGTCTTTTTATTAAGAGTGGCTGCTTAGGAGGGCAACATACGTACAAATGTGCTTGACACGATGGATGGATGGATGGATGGATGGATGGATGGATGGATGGATGGATGGATGGATGGTTAGAAGAGCTGTAAGAGCCCCCAATAAAATTATTTTTAAAAAACAAACTGTTAACAAGGAAAAAAAAAAAAAGAATGACAGCCTAGCACTATGGATTCCTATCCAGAACAAGGGAGTCTACCTTCCATCTTCAAAAGCATTATCCAATCTTTCATTCTATTTTTTAAACCTCTGGAATAAATAATTTGAAAAAATTGAGGTAGTGTGATGAAAGAGAAAAAAATAAAACCTGATGTGACTGCCTAACGAGTAGGATGATGAACATATGGATAGCAGTTTACTGACTCATTATATGCAAGGGAGAGCTCATCGAAATTATCTTATTAGTTGGACATAAGCTAGCATTTTATCACTGGTAAATTTCAAGCATTTAACACTGCAATCTGGCCTCCAATATCAGTTTGGTAGGGTTTCAGTTTTGGCTGGCAGAGTACTTGACATGTGGTAGGTCATTACCAATTACTGTGATAGTAATAGTTGTAACCAAAATAATTCTAGCATTAACAATATAATCGACAATTTAGAAGTTCCATGAAGTGGTTGATTAAATAGGAGGGGTGGGAGTTAAATAAGAAAGGACTATCTCAGAGCTTCCTCATAAACCACTGTCATCTTCACGTACCTCTGCCAATTTGTATGCTCTGTTTAATGTCAACAAAAGGAAGAATTAGGCTGAATTCAATCTGATTGTAGCAGATACTTACTCTTGATTTATCCAGGCTAAAGGAGCAATCCTATTTTCTTCAATTTTATTATAACGAAGTACAATGACGTTTATCATTCTGGTATGATTGAAACAAACTTCAGTTATTTGTTCAATTTGGTTATCTTCCAAGTATAATTCCTATAATTAAGAGAAAAAACCATTGTTTTTCCTCATTTTGTGTTAATAAATGTATTCAACTTCACAGAAACTAAAATAGGTAAAGTGACTACACTCAGTACTATCTAAAATTTTATGTACTACCCCTTGAAGTGAAAACCCATAGCACTGAGTTGATTCCAAGCCACATGACCCTATAGGTCAGAGTTGAACTGCCCCATTGGGTGTAGGGCAGCAACAAGTCTCATCCTTCTCGCTTGGAGTGGCCAGTAGCTTCCAATGAGCTTGCAGCTACCAGCCCAATGCATAGCTTACAACACCAAGAGGGTTCCTTTCTCTGAAGTGAGTTCATTAAGATATTAAATTATCTAATTAATAAAATAAACTGACATGGTTATGGAGTTAAGTAAATTTTGTTTATTTTTAGCCAATGTTGTAAGGTACAGCATTCTATAATAGTATAAGGCTTTTGAGATAACAAAACTGCTTCATATAAATTATCTCATGTGGACTTCAAAATCTTGGAAAGTTGGTAGAAAACTAATACCTTCATTGTAGCAGTGGAGAAAGTCAAGTTTATAGAGATAATGAGACCTGCATAATATTACATGTCTAATGCATGAAAGAAAATCATCCTAACATGAGTTTTCCATTACACCATTTGACTGTGCATATTAGGTTGAATATTTTAGAGTCACAATTAATTTTATTAAAATATAATTAAAATGAATTATCTTCATTTAAAATCAGAGTGAAGTTTGCTAGAATTATTCATAACTTTTCCATAGCTTGCTGCCTTTAAATTAAATTTAGTGGGTGTTTTTCACTAAAAGATTTGCACTACAAAATTATCCTCCTTTTTGAATTCATATGTAATTGGCATATATCACCAGTGTCACTTTATGTTCATGTTATGGTGATTTCACCTC